ACCTTCTGTACTATCTTTACGACTTTTCTGTAAATCTAAAATTGTTCCAAAATGAACATTTTATTTTAAAAAATTAATATGAAAAGATGCATGACTCCAATTTTTTTAGGCCAATATCTCATTGTGTGTGTTTTTGTGTTTCTAAGTACCTATCTTTCATCTTTTAGAATATAAGTCCTTTGAGGGCAAAGGTATGATGTGGGTCTCGTTGATATTTTTTTCCAGCTTTATTGAGGAATAACTGACAAATAAAAATTTTATATATTTAAGGTGTACAATGTAATGATTTGATATACCTATACACTGTGAGATGATTACTACAATCAAGCTAATTAACACATCCATCACCTCACATAGTTACCATTTTTCTGTGTGTGGTGAGAACACTTAAGATCTACTCTCTTAGCAAATACAGTGTTATTAACTATAGTCACCATACTGTACATTAGATCCCCAGAATTTATTCATCTTATAACTGAAAGTTTGTATCTCTGACCAACATCTCCTTATTCCCACCCCTCCCATCCCCAGCCCCTGGCAACTGCATTATACTCTCTGCTTCTTTAACTTTTTTAAGATTCCACATCTAAGCGAGATCATACTGTATTTGTCTTTCTATGTCTGACTTATTTCACTTAGCATAATGTCCCCCAGATTCATCCATGTTGTTGCAAATGGTAAGATTTCCTTATTTTTTAAGGCTGAATAATATTCCATTGTATGTGTGTATCACATTTTCTTTATCCATTTGTCCACCAATAGACACTTAGGTTGTTTCCACGTCTTGGCTGTTGTCAGTAATACTACAATGAACATGGGACTGCAGATATGTCCTCAAGATACTGATTTCATTCCCTTTGAAGGTATTATTCTTAAAATGCTAGTAGAATTATCAGATTTCAAACATTCAACAACTGAGTTCTGTTTTTCTGAAGGGTACTAAATAGAATAGGTTTTCAGTTAAGGTCTCTGGCCACTGTAGCACTGGAGGGTAATTGGTGATAGCCTCCTCTCTGGGGCCTGTCAACCCAAGAGTAATGACTTTTGCTCACTTCAGACCTGAGGTAATTTCAAACCAGCACAAGTTTCCATTTTTTCTCGTTATCCAATCTATTCTCTATGTTCATTTATTCATGTGGTTCGATTACTCTGAGATCTTAAGAGAGAAAGGGATTTAAGAAGGAAAAAAACGAACACAGTGCCATATTTTGTATGGCATAATGATATCTAGGAGATATGATGCCTCTGCTCATGACATCCAGGTTAGCCACTGCAAATAATTCTGTGATAAAGATAAGGATGCTTGAAATGAGACATAAAAAACTGTGTGTGTGTGAGAGAGAGAGAGGAATGGTTACTAAAATTTTAGAAATGCATCTTCTTGAAACAATATTTTCAGCAAAATGGCTGGTTTCCTTCTCTTTTTGAACTTAGGGGGAAATATTATCCCAGTTTCAAGTAGGCCTGGTTATTTTCTTGACCGTTAAAAAAAAATTCGCAAAAGAGTCATCTGTTTACCAGTGAGGATCCTCAAATAGTCTGCTTTGCTCCATGCATAATATATTTTTCATTTTTCTTTCTAAAAGGATCTGAAATACATTGAAATTTCTGAACTAAAATCTTGGAAACTAGAGTTCTTGGTATGTGACTTTGTATATAGTCATATTCCAGTAAGTAGGGTCTGTTGTCTGATGGAGATTTGTGGACCGACTCACACTTCTTGAAGTGCTAGCTTCACACAGATTTGTTCACTGACAAAAAAGCAAGCAGATGTAGGAATAATTAGCATTCTGGAAACAGGGTGATGAAGACTATACATCTATAAGGACTGGTGGGATTGGTATAGGACAAGTAGTGGCTTAGAGAAATAGAGCTAGAATAACAGAAGAAGAAAAAACCCCAACACTCAGCCATAACGAAACAGCTATTTCTCTGGTTGTTTAGATCAAAGGTCTTGCCAATACTCGTGTGGATCTGGTAGTTAACTCCAGAACTGTATGTGGCTATATGCGTTTAACAGTTGTAAATATTTTACTCTTTATAATTAACGTTACTGTTAAGTTCACATGCAGTAAGTAAATTGTAAATAACTCATTCTATAGCATGGGATCAGCGAATCTCAAGTAATTTTTTACTTATCTTTATTAAATCCTAAATTAAAAGAACCACTTTAGATGTTAGGGAGAGGAGCCTGGGATCCAGTTAACTTGTTCATGTATTTTTTAAACGGGTGATAACGACTGTGTAACAGATTACCCCTAATATAAGAGCATAAAAGAACACATACTTATTCTCTCCCCCAGTTGCTGAGGGTCACAAATCGGGGAGTGGCTTAGGTGGGTGGTTCTGGCTCAGGGCCTCTCATGAGGTTGCAGTCAAGATGTTGGCTGGTCAGGGCTGGGCCGGTGGCATGGTGGTTAAGTTCGCACACTCCGCTTTGGTGGCCCAGGATCCCAGGCATGGACCTACACACCACTCATCCAGCCATGCTGTGGTGGCGTCCCACATACAAAATGGAGGAATATTGGCACAGAAGTTAGCTCAGGGACAATCTTCCTCAAGCAAAAAGAGGAAGATTGGCAACAGATGTTACCTCAAGACCAATCCTCCTCACCAAAAAAAAAAGATGTTGGCTGGGGGTGCAGTCATCTCAAAGCTCATTTAGGGCTGGAGAATTCACTTCCAAGCTCACTCATCTAGTTTTTGGCAGGTCTTAGTTACTTGCTGGCTGTGAGCTGGTAACCTCTATTCCTATGGGCCTCCATAGCCTTCCTGAATGTTCTCATAACATGAAAGCTGGCTTCCCACAGTAAGTGATCCAAAAGAGAGCAAGCAGGTAAGCAACCAAGACCTACAACCTTACAACCTAATCTTGGAAGTGAAATACCATCACCTCTGCTGTGTGCTATTGGCCACAAAGACCAACCTTGGTCCAGTGTGGAAGGGGACTGCCTATATAGAAGGGTGTGGATATCAGGAAGCAGGGATCATTGGGGGCCATCTGGGAGGCTGGCTACCATAGTGGCTATCAAATCTCTCAGGTATTTATATTCCACTGGGTAAATTTAAAAGAATGACCTAACAGTTTTAATTTTAAATATCAGTGTTTACATCATGCTGAAAATTTCATGATTTGCAACTACTTACATTTATGATGAAAAAATTTTTAAATGAACCCAGGGGGTATACATTAAAAAAAAAATTCTTTTGGGGATAAGAGAATAAAAGTTTGAAGACCACTGGCTCAGACTACTAGTTCTTCTATCCACTGCGTCCCTCTTATCCTTTTCCTCTGGCTCTTTATCTCCCCCACGTGGTGCTCTTTTATCTGAAAGGTATGGACAATGGATTAATGAAAAATAAACATCAAACTGAAAATCGAAATTTGGTCCCTAATTTGTGAATGAGAAAGATTACTTAAAATTTGGACTGTCCTTGAAAATCTAGGACTTCTGGATATGAATAAGAAAATGAATCAGGAGCTATTTTAAATGGCATTTATTAAACAGCTACGTGCCTTCTATGAGCAAGGCACAGTGGGAGAGCTGTCCGGGACACCAAAAGAATAGAATCTAGGAATATAATCTACCAAAGTTATAAGCTGGAGAGTATGGCGCCTGGATGCTCAGAAAATAAGATGATATCATACCAAAAAAATTGTACACAACTGACACATTTTCATGGGATACAATCTTTTAAAAATTGTATACAATTTGCAGAGGTGAAATTCTGCTTCTGTTTTGATGCCACCAATGTATATGTTTAATGAAGGCATTTTATACCTTAGATGAACAGACCAAAAATGCACAAAGCCAGTAATTATGGATAATAACTGTTGGAAAAGATGCTGAGATTTTATTAAGGCATACCACAACCAACCTAAATTTAAGCCATAGTTTATTTTATCAGGAACTAGCCTTGAAACTTTACCAGGCAGGACTAATATTCTATTCCTAACAATTTACCATTTCATAATGGAGAAAAGGCTGTCCCGCTTACTCGCAAGTGGAACATGTGTTACGTCCTTATATAAACTGGAACCAAAATAGCAATGCGCATCCAACGTTATTAAAATGTCTCATTCAGTACAATAAACACTCACTAAACTACACAGAGCTAAAATTATGCAAAAGATTGCAAAACAAAACACAAACTACCTTGGAAATTTTCCAATCTAAGCTAAAGGGACTAAGCAGCAAGTTGAGTTTTAAGAAGTTGGCTGGACGATATTAGCTCCAGTACCCGCAGATGAGAAGTTAGGTTTAGGATTCTGGTTTCTGGAAATGCTTGCAGACCCTCTACCTACAGCGGGGCCAACGAGAAAATGTTCAATAAGGAAGTCTGTTTATTTCCCTCCACAAAGCTTTTTCGTTACAATGGACGGAGGCCTAATTCCTCGCTGGTGGTCAGACGTGAGCGCGGAAAGCCACGCTGGACACCCCTCTCGGTCTGGGAGGCTGCTCTCGAAGCTGGCGCGTGGACGCGGGCTTCCCAGGGGTCAAGCGCAGGTCCTCCTGCTGCCGGGAGCCCGTCCTCGGCAATTCGTCCTCGGCAATTCGTTGTTGGGTCATCACCCCGAGCACACTGGCCCAGGCGCCCCTCCCTGTCCGCCCTGCTCCCAGGGCGGTTTCTACAGCTCGTAAAGGGTAACAGAGATCCTAACTAGGTGTGAGACCAAGACGAGGAAGGCGGTCGGACGCGCCCCTGAGGGCTTGCTCGCGAGCTCCGCCTTTCTCGCAGAGGTCACCCGAGGACTGAGGCGAGGCCCAGCTGGGACGAGTCCGGCCATCCCCTGCCAAGTGCGGGTAGACGCCGGCCGAGCCCCGGCGAAACAAAAAGGGGCAGGCGGAGATGAAGCAAGATGGCGGGACGCCGGCGCGAGGCGGAGCGAGCGAGAGCCTCCCGGCATGCCGCGCAGCGACCTGCTTCCGGCTGTGGGCGGTGCGGAGGTCGGCGGCGGCCGGAAGCGGGCTGAGCCGGCCTGTGGGAACGCTGCCTGGACTTCCGGAGGCCTAGCGCCAGGCTCTAGAGTTTTCCGGTAGGCGGCGCGGGAGGAAAAAGAGGCTTGAGGGGCCGGGCCGGGCGGATCCCCTCCTTCCCCAATGTGAGCAGTGTGCCGAGCCCCCGTCAGGCGAAGGCTGGCCAGAGTGGTGGAGCCGGTGGCCGGGTCGGGAACATGAGGCAGTGTCTCCTTTTACTGACCAGCTTGGTTCCTTTCGTACTGGCTCTGCGACCTCCGGACAAGCCGGGCTTCGGCCCCCCTCAGCGACTCGGTAAAGACCCGGGGGAGTTGGCTTAGGCCGGCGCCGGGCGCCGGGAGCGCGCTGCTTTCGGGGAAGAACAGGGGAGCGGGATCTGTCCGGTATTTGGGGGCGGGGTATGGGACGACTGTGGCGAGTCCCTAAGTTTTCAGTGTAGGAAGGGGGTGTGGCTCTCGGAGTTGAGGAAAAGAATAGAGACGGGCTTGTCCCTCTGAATGGGAAAGGGATACTGGAGGGAGCCTCCCGTGGGCACTGAGGGCCTGGGAGGGGTCTGCCCCCTGGGTTTATGTGTGGGAAAGAGGTGATGTGGTGGTGGTGCTGGCTCGTGTTTGGAGAGGGAGATGTCCAGGTCCCGGTCCCTCCCCTACTAAGGAACAAATCTATAGTGTGTTCCTACCAAAGGCAGGACTCAGAAGGAGGATAGAAAGGGCCCAAAGCTCCCCAGCTCTTCCTGGCTCTCTAAGGAGCGAAGTAGAATTTCTGCTGTAGGAGGTACTTATGCAGTAAGCTGGTTGGAAGGCGCTGACTGGAGAACTCACCTTGTGGAGTTTCGTTTTGCGAACATCATAAGCATGTAGTTAATTAAATTGTAGCTTATTGGGGGTGCTGGGTGTGTGTGTGTGTGGGCGCTTAAACTTGCCAAGACAGCCTCTTGATCCTGCTACTGTGAAGGACTTCTTTGGCATTTTAAACAAAAATTATCAGGGATGACCAATTTGATTGGTTTTGAGCCTAGAAGGTAGAGCGTTCTTATTTAGAGTTTCTAAAGAAATTGGATTTTAAGGATGGAGGTACATTAAGAGATGTGAAATTTGATGGAAGTTAGTTTGTGTGAACATATGGTGACTGTTAGGGTCCTTTGTCTTTTAAAACTTGACAGGTAAGAGTTTGATTAATTAGTAATAAAGTATGAAACATAGTATATCTTCCCAATGTGGGAAATGTAGCCTCAGTGATTTTGCATGGTTGTGTTGGTCCCCAAATCCCATCATGGTTCCGTATGTGGTATTGTGCAGATTGAGACACCATGTGTGTTTTCTTTATGGCTAATAAAAAATTTCGAGTTAGTTTACTTGGCAGTTCTTTTTTCTCATTTAATGGACAGAAATGGTAGTTGACTGAGGGTGTTAAAGATGTCGAGTGTTCTCACCTGAGCAGCTGCTTTGTGGCGCTCTCAAATTGAAATGGATTACAGGTGACTAGTTTAATGAACAGCAAGGGAACCTGTTAGGAAGTGCTGAGATGTGATAAGTCAGTACAGATTGAAGGGAAATTTGAGGTAGGGGTGATCAGAATGGAGCGAGAGGGTAAGGATCCACTTCATAAGAATAAATGTGAATGAAAAGAATAAACATGTATTTTGAGATACTAAAGTTGTATTTTTACCACTCTAACATGACTGTTTTATTATATTTCTGTTGTTCTGGTGGAAAAATAAGCAGTATGAATTCTAGGAATGCACATAGTATATAGATCAGTAGCTTTCTAGATCAATTTTCAGCAACATTCACAGATCATAAGAGTTTTTTTTTGTGAGGAAGATCAGCCCTGAGCTAACATCCATGCCAGTCCTCCTCTTTTTGCTGAGGAAGACCAGCTCTGGGGTAAGGTCCCTGCCCATCTTCCTCCACTTTATATGGGACGCCGCCACAGCATGGCTTGACAAGTGGTGAATCGGTGTGCGTCCGGGATCCCAAGCCGCCGCCAGCAGTGGAGCGCGCGCACTCGACGGCTGCGCCACAGGGCCGGCCCCGTAAGAGTTTTTTTTGACCATGTATTTTTTATTTGCAAAGTGCAGATCTCTGGTGCCAGAAAAATGCAGAGACTTACCCATTTATTCACCAAATGTTTGAAGAACACATACTGTATGCAAGTATTATGTGGGGTATTGGGAGTAGAAAGATTAGTGTCCATCTTCAAAAAGCTTTTGCGGGGCTGACCCAGTGGCACAAACGGTTAAGTGCGCGCGCTCCGCTGCGGCGGCCTAGGGTTCGCCGGTTCGGATCTCACGCGCGCACCGACACACCGCTTGTCAAGCCGTGCTGTGGCGGCGTCCCATGTAGAGTGCAGGAAGACGGGCACGGATGTTAGCCCAGGGCCAGTCTTCCTCTGCAAAAAGAGGAGGATTGGCAGATGTTAGCTCAGGGCTGATCTTCCTCACACACACACAAAAAGCTTTTGCCATGGTGGAATAGAAAGATCTAACAGACGCTCTAAAACAACATGGAGGAGGGTGATTATGGCAGGTATTATTATCATGAAGGAGCACCGAACCTAGCCTGGGAAGGTTAGTGAAGGCTCCCTGAAGAGGTGGTACTTGAGCTCAGACTTTAAGGTTGGGTAGGTGAAAAGGGAAAATAAGGACACTCCTGTTGGGGTCCCTTAGAGACTGTTAGAGTTGAAATGAACCTTAGAGACTGTGTCTTGTTTTTTAAATAAAGCAGCAGAGAAAATGAGTCTCAGAAAGGTGTAGTGAGTTGTCAGGTTCACACAGTTAGTGATAAATATATGCCTTGTGGGTATTTTTCCTTTTGAAGAATGACTTGTGTGTGTGTATATGTTTGATGGCTTAGGATGTAATTTGTTGCTTAACTTAACCCTACCATTATTTAGATTGAATTGGTCGAGACCAATGAATAGTTCCATAGTTAAAGAGCATGGTTTATTGTTTATTAGCCTACTTATCCTATAAATGTTATCATAACTACAGTACTAAATACTGATTAGGGGTTTGAAAACATTTTTCTCAAGGACAGAAATATATAATAGAATCCTGGCTTTTGGAGTTCTCCATGTCACCCAGTATGATTTCAAATGAACAGTTGTGAATTGCATAATTTAGGAAAGTTATGAGTCATGTGAGCTTAGTCATGGTGATATCTTGTTGAAGTTGCAGCTGGGGTGTATAAGTCTCACTCCGATTTCAAAAGTGTTTTCCCTTTGTGTTACTTTTAGCAAAAGAGGATGTAGTAGGTGGAAGGAAAAAAATATAGGTCACAGATGACAGATGAAAATTTGTATCTGAAACATATTTTGAAATTTATCTTTAGGTTATTGGCCTGAGGATTCTGCACATTGCAGTGCTTATTTCTCATTATTGACAGCACCGTTTTGCTCAGTATTTTAACATCTGGCTTCCTCTTTTGGTGTTAATTTTGCTTATAGGCAAAGGTTCCTTTGAAACTGAAACACTTAACCACCCTAGCTGCTCCAAGGGAGATTTAATGCAACTCTGCTTTGTACTAGTCAGAGAGATAAACTATATTTCTAGAATAAAATGAAGAGAAGAGTTAAGCAAAGAGCCTTCATGGGGAAACTACAGAAATCCTTTTGGCTGTCTGTCCTAGGGTTTTCCAGAACATTAAGTGTAGGTGTCCTTTAAAGCCAAGTGTGTTGATTTTTGGATCCTTAACCATTTTGTATTTGTGAGAGATGGTAAATGCTTTCAGTTGAAAGTATAATGTGAAAAAAATCTGAAAAAGATTAGTAGGGAAGGGGGGACAGGAATAGGTTTCACTGAGGTAGGGAAGTAAAATGAAGTGCTTTTTCATATGTCCCTTAACTTAGTCCTGAAATCAACCAAGGAAGTGGGTATCTCCCTCCCCACACTTTTTTTTTCCTTTTTATGTGAGTTGTAGACTCTGACAAGTCTCATCTGCTGCCCTAGTTTCACTTACCATTTGACTGTGTTCTGATAACTACTAAATATGTATTTCTGCCCTAGACTTGTTCTCTGAAGCTCCACACTCATGTATCCAGCTGCCCACTTGATGTTTCTACCTCGTTGTTCACAGGCACTTCAAATATAACATGTCCAAAATTACGTATCATGTATTCTTTGGATTAGAAGGATGAGTATAGATGATAAGGTTTAGTCTAGGAATAGGTAAGGGTGCTGGAAATTGTGGAAGCAGTCTCATTGCCTAAGCTGAATTACATCGCTTTCAGCTACAGAGCCTTATGGACCAATCCAGGTTTCTTCAGAGGTTCCTTTGGGCTGTGCTAACTTTCATTTGGGCTCAAAGTTTCCATGTTACTGGTCTTGCTGGGGAGTCTTGTCCCAGGTTAAGTCTCAGCCCTAGTGAAGAGCTCTTGATAGGGAATTATTTGAGGCAGCTCATCCTCCATCCTCCCTAACTGGTATAAACCCATAAAATTAAGTTTTTAGTTCCTAGGCTCTGGGATCCACTGGCCTAGCAGAGAGCACTGCTCTCCTTTTCTCATCCCTTGGTCCTGAGGAGGGTTCACCCACACCTAGGGCTTACTGCATTGTAGCCTGGCCAGGCCGCTCTCTTGTCCTGCATGTTTTGGGGAATGCTGAAGAGCAGTCAAGTCTTATGTGTCTTCTGCACAAGCAGAATAAAAACTTGACAAGTCCTGGCTTTATCTTTTCCACTTCTGACGCCAGAAGGAGGAACATGGCACCAATAGTGTCATTTTGGGGGAGCTCTTTGTACTCCATGCAGCAGAGCAGTGGAGAGTGAGCAGAATGCTGCAGGGGTTCTGCGTTACACTTGCAAGTTGTCTTCCAAGAAGATGCAGTCTATTGCAAAAAGACAAGAGAAATTAAGTAAAAAGTCCACGAATGTTCCCAGACTCTTCTCATATGACGAACACTTCATTGTTTAAAAATTAGTTTTATCTTAAAAAAGTTGACTCTAGGCTCGATGAAAGAAATATAGGTATACTTGATGTCATTGTACCAAAGTCAATGGCCATAAAAGCTTATCCTGGAGATGAAATACTCATGTATACGTGAAGGGTGGAGTGGAAGAGGTATTAAATCTTCTGTAGGCAACTCCTCATCTGCATCCAGAAAGCCGGTTTGTTGCAGGCCTGAAGGTCCAGCTTTCTCTTTCTTTGAGAACATAGAAGGAACAAAGTATGAGCTGCTTTTTACTGCTAATGTAAATGTTGAAAATCATACAGTAATGTAGATTTGCTCTCTTCCTGACTAAAATCACTATATGACTTACCAGTGACATAACTATAAATATATGGTGACAGTGCAA